CCCATGAATATTACAAATTACCCAAATGACCTTTGGCAGGAAAAAAAAAGAGAGAGAGAGTGATTGTAAGATAAGAGAGAAGTTCATGCTTGGAGGCCCAGAACTCCCAGGGTCAGCTGGTTGGAGACCCAGCAAAACTGGCAGTGGAGCTTCCAGTCCAGGCCCAGAGTCCCTGGGGTGAGTGCCAGGCGGAAGCTGAGTCCCCAGGCTGGTCCCTGCTCCTGTAGATGCTACAGTTCCACAGTGCTGTCACCTCTGCTTACAGGAAGGAAGCTGTTGATAAAAGCCAACCAAAACATTAGTTGACATTAAATATTTCCCCCACACTGAGAGCAATCTAATATAGATTTTGATTCTCATATTTCTCAAAAAAAAAAAAAAGGATCAAGGAAACTTGTTTTGTTATTTATGTGCTCTGTACAGATCAAAGGTGTAGGGTGCTTGTTGGCCAGAGGAAAGGTGCTGGTGATGGTTAGGAATCCAGATTTTATTCTAAAATTGATTTTTTGCTATTTTTAAAAAATAAAGCATTATTTATTTGAAAAGCAAAGTGACAGAGAGAGAAGGAGAGACAGAGAGACAGCATTCTTCCATCTGTTGGTTCACTCCACAAATGACCACAATGGCTGGGACTGGACTGGTCTGACACCAAGAGCTTCTTCCAGATGGGCCACATGAATGCCGGGGCCCAAGCCCTTGAACCATCTTCTGCTGCTTTCCCAGGCACATCAGCAGAGAGCTGAATCAGAAGTGGGGGAGCCAGAACATAAACCAGCACATACATGGTATGCCCACACTGCAGGCCACAGCTTTACTGTTAGGCCACAACACCAGCAACTGTCATATGGAGCAGGAACCACAGGGGGCAGCACGGAGGCGAGGGAAGTTGGAAGGCTGTCACAGCAGCTGGGATGCTGGGCTAGAGTGAAATAGCAAACACGGTAACGGGTCAAACTTGGGACATATTTGCTGATTGGTTTTACGTGGGAGGTTACAGGAAGAAAAAGCTGACTCTGAAGTGCTTTGAGTTTTAGCTGCAGATGGTGAATATTCTTCTGGCCTAAATGGGGTATATTTGAGGTGCCTGCTGGCCATATGGGTAGACATGGTTCATAAGCCCAAGGACAGAGGGCAGGGCTGAGCAAACCCTACTCCCAGCGGTCAGCAGCACGGGGGGAGGGTTATGGGCACCCACTGTGGCACAGGCCTCCTGGGCTCATGCTTTCTTACATGATGTGGCCTCTCTGTGCCTCAGGTCTCTGTTCTGTAAAATGAGAATCATGGTGTCTGCTTCCCACGATCCAGGAGTTACTTTAAAGTACCCAGTTTACACTCAAGGCTCGGCACAGCCCAGCCGTTACTTGCACATTGTCCATACTGCCACGTTCAGTCTTGGTAAGACCACCTAGATTCATCTGATTCTCATCCCCACTGCCCTGTCCCATGATGGCAGCTGCTCTCATGGAGAAATAGAACATTAAATATATATAAGTCTGTCGTTTCTCATGGTCTGTGTGCCTTTCAAGGAACCTTTATTGTGGTGCCGGCACCATGGCACAGCAAATTAAGCCTCTGCCTGTGGCGCCGGCATCCTGAATGAGTGCTGGTTCCATTCCTGGCTGCTGTACTTCCCGTCCAGCTCTGTGCCGATGGCCTGAGAAGCAGCAGAAGAGCCCAAGTCTTTGGGCCTCTGAACCCGGGTGGGAGACCAGGATGAAGCTTCTGGCTGCTGTTTCCTGGCTTTAGATTGGCTCAGCTCCAGCTGTTTTGGCCATTTGGGGGAATGAATCAGTAGATGGGAGATCTCTCTCTCTCTCAGTAACTCAAATTAAACTTTTGAAAAATAAACTTTAATTGTGCAATATAGCAAATACAGAAAGCCACATACAGTATAGGATTCAAGAGTCAGCCCCTTCACCCCAGCCACATTTCTCATGACCGCTTCCAATTATAGTGTTCCGGGCCCCTGGCTTGACGTGGTCCAGTGTAGCAAGTATTTGTGGAGTGGACCAGAAGACAGAAGATTTCTTTCCCTAACATTCTGCCTTACAAACAGATAAATCTTAAAGAAAAAGCCACCATTCAATATTACCTTCGTGACAAACTGTTACTCAGGATCCTAGTTCCATTCTCTATTAACAAAATAATTGCTTGTTCTGCATGTAATCAAAATACCACAGTGAAAAAAACACCTGGGGGTGGGTGCTTGGCACAGTGGCTTAGCTGCCACTGGGGTCACCTGTGCACCTTCTGGGAGCACCTGCCTTCAGGTCATGCCTCCGTTTCGGACTCTAGCTCCCGATTACTGCGCACCCAGGGAAGCACAGGTGCTGGCTTCAGAGCTTGGACCCCTGCCACCTGCACCAAAGACGAGATCAAAGCTCTTGGCCTTGCCCTTGCCCAGCCATGGCTGATGCACAAACTGGGGGAGTGAATCAGCAGATAGGAGCAAGTTCATGCGCTCTCCTTCTCTATCTAGCTTTCAAGTTAAATAAGTTTTAAAAAAAAACAATAGCTGGGGTATGTGACTTAACGGAGTGCAGGAATCAGAGCAGGACACCCTGAGACATCCAAACATGAGTGACACAGGCATTTCCTTGACAAAAGTGGAGGTGCTAAAAAGAGGTACAGAAGCTTTAAAAAAATGTAGTTCCTTAGGAGCGACATGGTGGCACAGCCAGCTATTCTTCCGCCTGTGGCCCCAGCATGCCATGTAGGTTCTGATTTGTGTCCCAGCTGCTCCACTTCCGATCCATCCCCCTGCATGTAGCCTGGGAAGGCAACAGGAGACAGACCCAGTCCTTGGGCCCCTGTACCCATGTGGGTAGTGTTCCCTGGCTCCTGGCTCCTGCCTTCAGACTGGCCCAGCTCCGACCTTTGCAGTCATCTGGGGAATGAACAAGCAGGTGCAGTATCTATCTCTTCTTCTCTAATTCTGCCTTTCAAATGAAAAAAAAAAAGTTTTTTTTTCCTTTTAAGTAGTCCATTTTGGCAACTAGACAAGAGTCAGATTCTGAAGCCACTAAAAGCATAGCAATATCCATTCTGACTTCTCCAAACCTCTTGTGAGTCACCATGGGGCTCACCGGCTTTTTAAAATTCACCAGACACAAGCATTGGGCAGTGGCGGAGGCAGTGTGTGGGCTGCCCGTGGCCCAGCCTGGAGGGCCAGGCCGTGCGCCCCAGCTCCTTTCCCAATGCCAGCTTCCTCCTCAGCTGCACCCGGGAGAACAGAGCCCAGCAGAGCCCGGAGGTGCAAGGGAGGGGAGACCCAGTTTGAATTCCTAGTTTTCGCTTTGGTCTGGGCCAATTTCTGCTGATGTGGGCATATTTGGGGGGAGTGAACCAGTGGATAAGAATTCTGTTTCTCTCCCTTTCAAATATATAGAATTTTTAAATCGGAGAGATAAAATAAAAAAAAAAATAAGCAGAGGTTAAAGTGAATATTTTGGACTCAAGCCCATCTGATGAAAACAACTGTGGGACTTTGGTTAAACCAGGGAGGACAGGCATGTCTCCCTGGCCTGCCTTCTCTAGCACTTCTCTGACAACTGGGAATGGTCAGGAAGTGGGTCTCAGCTTGCTCACACTCAGCCAAGCAGCTCCACTGACCACAGCGTGCTGCACGAGGGAGCTGGCAGCACGAGTTCCTCTTCTGGAATCTCTAAGACGGGGACCCAGCAACAGCATTCTCAATTAAAAATCAAAAGAAAAATTCCTTTGAAAAGACTAGTACGTAAATATTAGCACAACCAGAATTTCCTGACCACCCAAAACAACCAGAGGACCTGGCGCTGTGGCCTAGCAGCGGTTAAGGTCCTCGCCTTGAATGCGCTAAGATCCCATATGGGCACCGGTTCTAATCCCGATGGCCCTGCTTCCCATCCAGCTCCCTGCTTGTGGCCTGGGAAAGCAGTCAAGGACGGCCCAAAGCTTTGGGATCCTGCACCCATGTGGGAGACCCGGAAGAGGCTCCTGGCTCCAGATCAGCTCAAGCTCTGGCCGTTGTGGTCACTTGGGGAGTGAATCATCGGACAGAAGATTTTCCTCTCTGTCTCTCCTCCTCTATATTTATGACTTTCCAATAAAAAATAAATAAATCTTTTTTAAAAAAGAACACGAAACAAGTTGGGCCCAAGAGAAAACAAATAGCTTGACAACAGTTCCTGACCGGGTTGCCCCTGTTGATGTTGCCCTCCTGGCCCCCACGGGAGGTGACCTGGAGCGAGTGGGCACCTGGGGGGGCGAACTGGTGGGTGGGAGCGGGCCTTTCCAACAAGTTCCTCAACAAAACTTTGTTTGCAGAGGAGCCTCCATCCTCCACAGGCGCTTCCTTGGCTCTTGTACTGCATCCTCGCTAGCTACGGCTCTGGGCTCACGCGGAACTCAGGCCACAGCTGCTTCTCTCTGATCCAATCACCCCGCTATGAACGGTCAGGCCGAGGGCGTCCCCACCTTCCCGCCGGCTGAGGACCGTCTATGGTTCCCCAGGAACCCCAGGTGTTGCTGGGACCGGCGAGCAGGACCTGCGTCCCGGCCCGAGGGAGACGGCACCGACTTCTAGAAGAAACCAGAGAGTCGCGCTCCGGGTCTCTCCCGGGCCGCGGCCTGGCTCCCCCGGCGGCCTCCGGACTCCCCTGGCCCGTCCTCCCGCCCGCCGGCCGGCCCGGACGCTCCCCCGGAACCCCGGCCCGTCCGCCCGCACGCCAGCCGACGGCCTCCATCACCCAGGCCGCCCACCCACAGGGCCGCAGGGGATGGGTGGCGGCCTGGGCCAACCCCCGCGCCGCGCAGGCGCAGCCAGGCCCGCTTCCTGGCTTCGGGAGGAAGTGGCGGTGCGTCACCTCCGGCCTCCCTCTAGCTGCCATCTTGCGTCCCCGCGTGTGTGCGCTTAATCTCAGCTGGTCCGCCCGAGACCCCTGAGCGCGAACCCTAGTCCCCCGCGCGGCCCCATTTCCGCTCGGACAAGGTACCAAAAAAAAAAAAAAAAGAAAGAAAAAGGCTGTAGACGCCAACGGCGTGGGAGGAAAGGACGGGATCGGGGGCGGGAAGTTCCCGGCAGGAGCCAAACAGGGAGGAGAGGGACAGGGCGATGCGACGGACGGGCGCCCCCGCTCAGGCCGAGTCCCGGGGGCGAGGTCGAGCCAGGGGCGGCGGCCCCGGGGGCGAGGCGACGCCGTCTCTTCCTCCACCTCGCGGCGGAACCCGAGGACAGGAGCCTCAGGTACCGCGAGGCCTGCGGAGGAGTGGCCGGGGCCGCGGGGTGGGCTGGGCTGGACGGGGATGGGGGAGCCGGGGCGTGGGGTGCAGCCCCAGGCGGCTCCCGGGGGTGCTCCCTGGGCCCCCCGAGATCCGGAGCTCGGCGTGGGGGGCGGGAGGAGGAGGAGGAGGGTCCCGTGGGCAGAACGGGCGTGGAGCGGGAGCGAGAGCCGGACCTTGCCTTTTGCTCAAGATCTCCTTCGTCCCCTCCCTCCCCAATCCCCCCACCCCGCCTTTTATTTCTAGATGAAAGAAACCATCATGAACCAGGAAAAACTCGCCAAGTTGCAGGCGCAAGTGCGCATTGGTGGGAAAGTAAGTTGAATTTTTTTTTTTGGAGGGGGGAGGGGAAAGAGTGGGGAGTCGTTGGTCAGTGGACCTCCCAAATTGCTAAGAGCTTTGCAAATCCAGGGGAAGAGAGACAGGGGTTGGAAGTAAACTCTTAAAATGAGTCTCGTTTAAAGGGGGTGAGAAGTGAACGCTTTAAAAAAAAAAAAGTTTGCCCCGATGTAGGCGTGCCTCCAGTGTTACAATGTATAAAACAGAACAAAATGTTTCCCGAAGATGTGTCATTTCAATTAGGTTGTTGTCATCGGAGCTCTGAGCTGTATGGAGTCAGCACTTTTGATTTTTCTTCTTAAGCCTAAACTTGATGGGTGTGCTGGCGGCTCTTCCTGCTGTGTCTGATAGTGCCAGGTTTGTGTGTCTCCTAAATCGAGACCTTTCTGGAACATTCTCTGACTTACCGCGCCATTCGGCATGGTTGTGCATCTGCAGGAGTATTTGCACTTATATTTCTTAGAGAGATCCCCACTCTAGGGTTTTTTTTTTTTTTTAAGTGATTGTTTTTGCCCCTGGTGGGTGTTGATCTTTTTCAAGGGAATATCTGTGGAGCTCAGCGGTGCCTCCCTCCGAAGTTCTCTTTAGTTGGTGGAGAGTTGTATTTCGTGTTGTTGGCACATTCCTGGTGTGTAACAAGGAGCCTGCCTGTGCCTGATGGAGCTCGTAAAAGAGTCCGCACTATGGTTCCTCCCCTACCAGCGTTCCCAGCTTGAAGCATTTACCCTCAAGTTAACACTCGAGTCTAGCGGGAGATGGCGCAGCTGTACTTCACGAATAGGGGGCAGCTTTTAAGGACTGGCTCTAGCCAGCTGAGGGCTCCTGTTTTGTCCTCCCCTCCCTGGCTGCTGGGATGGCTCTGCCACAGCAAGGACTGGCTGTTCCTGGTGTGAAAACACTTAACACTGCCGTGGCCCTCGAGGGCCAGAACAGCCCGTGCTGCTGTGCGTGGGGTGTGTCGGGTGCTCTCACAGGCAGTGTCTAAACCACTCTTCCATTTCACGAGGAGTGTGCGTGGTGCTGGATGTTTTGTTCTCCCGTCACTGGGCTGTAACTCTTGAGGGAGGTCCCTCGTGTTAATGAAAGCCGTGGTTTAGAAGGGTGTTGAAGGTTATTGCGGGATTAAACTGTTGGTATCCTAATGTCTTAACACTTGGCTAAATCAGGAAGATATTTCTGTAGAAATTGTAATAAGAAAGTGTTTTCTATATCAGGAATTTACTTGCATTAGTTGTGAAATTAGGTAAATTACTTTTGCCTTAGCACCGCAAGTGTTCGTGGGTGAATATGTTACACCAGCCTGTTTGGGGGTATAATCAGGTATCGGCATGACCACTTTAAGGTGACTTTTACACTTAAAAATTTGGGAGGGAGGCAGTAGCCAGCATCCCTGTTTTTCATGCAGTGGTGATTTCTTCAAACAAGCCCCCATGGAGGCCTTGGAGCCTGGTGCTAGTGGCAGAAATCTCTTCAAAAAACCTGGTTTCACACTGCAGTGTATACCTAGTACAACAGAAACGTCAGAGTGCAGAGATGGGCATGGTTGGCATCGGGAGAGCAGTGGCTGGAGCGGACTTTGGAAGGGTGAAGGGGAATCGTGGGGGCAGCTGGGTAGCAGTAAGGTGGTGGTGGCAGTGTCCGAGGCCGCCTTGCTGGAGCCAGATCCTGGAAGCTTTCAGGGGGCTTGCATTTTCGTGAGGGGGTTGGTAGAATGCACTTGTCTCTTGCAATAATAAGTGCTGGGACAGAGAAGGGCGAGTGTGGGAGTCGTCGCTCTGCTGGCTGCTTGAGGAAGGCCGGCAGAGATCTGCAGTGAGGGGAAGCCAAGCTCCAGGCCTCTGACCCCGGGCCAGCCGCCCAAGCCTGGGAGCCCTCTGGTGGGAGCCCGTGAGCCATCCAGTGGGAGCCTGCGTGGCCTGTTTTGTTGGCTGAGGCTGTCTCCACGAGTGTGGTAGGATCAAGAACCGAATAGGAAGGACAGGGCAGAGCCTGGCTTCAGAACCTGGATTTTCTTCTTGGATGCTGTCGAAGTTGGGAAAGGTTAACGTGGTTCTTTGCTGCTGTACTGTAGCTGTGACTGTTAATGTGATGTTGCATTTGAATGGCCGCACAGATGTTGGTGATGGTGGACATGAGGCCTGTTTAGTAAGTAGGACTTCGGAGCCATCTTTAGTAGCAGAGAGGCCGGAAGTTGAGAGGTTAGGAGAGATGTGTAGACAGTTCTTTTCCGATTTTCTGCTTCGCTCTCGGCCTTGGCTTTCCTGCTCCCAGTGTGGAAGCCTGCAGATAGGGTGCTCCTGTGCGGATCAGAGTTGGACCAGAGCCATCTGTCAGACACGCTGTGTTACACTAAGGTGCTGCTGTCTCCTTTTCTGCCCGCTTCAGGGAACTGCTCGCAGAAAGAAGAAGGTGGTGCATAGAACGGCGACCGCCGATGATAAAAAACTTCAGTTCTCCCTAAAAAAATTAGGGGTGAACAATATCTCTGGTATTGAAGAGGTAAGTGTTGGCCTGCTTTGCTCAAAAAAGGTAAAAGTCGTCATCCATTAAGTAATTTTTTTTACTGCTTCCGACAGAATGCTTTGTGTTCCACACTGAACTGACGTTTCTAGGGGTGTTTGCTCCTGTTCATACGGGAGATTGTGAATCTGAAAGCTGTTGGGTCGTGTGTTCCATTCCAGGCAGAGGCTCCCCTCGGCCTCACTTGGTTTTTGTTTTTGAACCAGTGCGAAATTATTGTGGGAGGTGTGGGTGGGGTCCCGAGCAGGGACCAGCTGCTGTCGGCTTCACTTTATTTCTAAAATATACTTGGTTTTAAGGACACTGGTGGGCATTGCTAATTTTTTTTTTTCTTCGCAGGTGAATATGTTTACAAACCAAGGAACAGTGATCCACTTCAACAACCCAAAAGTTCAGGCTTCTCTGGCAGCGAACACATTCACCATCACCGGCCACGCCGAGACGAAGCAGCTGACGGAGATGCTCCCCAGCATCTTAAACCAGCTCGGAGCGGACAGCCTGACCAGCTTGAGGAGGCTGGCCGAGGCTCTGCCCAAGCAGTGTGAGTTGCCTGGTGGTCTCACTGATGGGGTAGTTCCGTGGCAGCACCTTACTCTGCCATCTTCTGGCCTAACAGATGTAGATGAATCGATTTTTAAATTCTTAAACCTTTATTAGCTGGAAATAAAATGTTAATTTGAGGAGCTGCTCTTATCTTAGCCTGGAGTTCACTAAAACTACATAAATAAATAAGGTGATGGAGAGTAGCGGTTTGACATAGCAGGTGCATCGTGGTTAGGATGCCTGCATCCCACATCAGAGTGCCTGGCTCAGCTCCCAGCTCCGTGTCCTGTCCCCAGCAGCCTGGCAGTGTGGCCGTTCAGGTGACCAAGTCCCTCGGTCCCCAGCCCTCGGGGCATTGGGAAGGAGTAAATAACCGAGGAAGGGAGTCCTCTCTCTCTTTGTCTCTTTTCCCTATGAGCATTTGTGTTCTCAGCAAGCATCTCTGTATTGGAGACCCTCGTGCCCTCCTCTTCTAGTCACTGCAGGCTGAGTACAGAGCCGCACTGTGGAACACCGCGCTCCCAGGCAGGTGTCGCACTGCTGTTTTACTCAACAAACGTGTAGCAGTGTGCAGCCTTAAATTCTTTTCAGCTAAGAAAATACGTCATTGTAAATTATCTCTCTTCAACCAAGTCTGTAAAATTTGCATTGCCAGTGAACTTGAGGACCTGGCGCACCGATATTTTGGTGTTTTTTAGTTACCGTGTGATGGGGCTTTTGTTAGAAGCAGAAGTTGGTGGAGTGAGTGCGCATCGGGCGAGGCAGCTGCTTTATGGCGAGGCGTGCTTGCCTCGGCAGTGGAAGGAACGCAGAGCCGAGTCGGGGTTGTGTCTGGAGGGTGTGTTGTTTAGGCGTTTGTGTTCTGGTGTGGATTCCCTTGGCATGGTTTATGTTTGAAACCAAGAGCCTGGCTCTGCTCCACCTTGGCGGGCACAGCTGAAGCCACACGTGCAGGCTGCCTGTGGGGTCTGTGCCAGCCTAGCCCTGCCTTCTCAAGGCGCTCAGGTGGCACTCACGCCGATGTGCGACAGAGGGAAATGCATGGTCCTTCTGGAAGATGGATCGTTGTTTTCCCACATAGGCTTGTTGCCTCTTTGTTTGGTCTCCCAGAGTCGGTCTTAAAGAGAAGGTAACTTGCTCTCCCCGTTGTGTAGTTTGGTTAGTTGGCTGTTACTAGTAGTTCTGTTTCCAGCCATGAAAACATGATTCTGTGAATAATGCTGAGCATGATGCCCAGGCTTCACTTGTATGTGTGCTAGATACTTTGTATTTCGTGTGTCCTGTTTGTTGTTTGTGGAAAGCTCAGAGGAATGGATATTTAAGTAATACTTGGTTTCCCTGTTCGCAGCTGTGGATGGAAAAGCGCCGCTTGCTACTGGGGAGGAGGATGATGATGAAGTTCCAGGTAGGAGCTTTCCCTGTGTCTAGCCTAGAACATTTTAGTGAGGCGGGTAGGATAAAGGATGTTTACTCACAAATTACCTCGGGATGGAATTAATTCAAGGTAGGGGGTAGAAAGACATGGCCCTTGGGATGAGGGGGAAAGAGTGTTAGTTAACTAGGAGTCAGTTTATTAAATGTTTAGCTAGGATTATATTATCACTTGAAACAGCTCTGTAGCACGCCACTGACTTCCCGTTTTGAAACCCGCACGTTTGTGAGCAGGCAGACAGCTGTTGTCAAAGTGTTCAAGCAGCAGCCGTTGTAAAAGCGGTGGCGAAAGAGCTGCTTTGGCAGCCTGGAGGCGCTTCTCTCAGAGTCTGCTGGGAATTCCCTTGTAAAGTACTGGAAGGCAGGCAGAAGTAGTCCTACTGTGTGCATCACTGAGTGTCCTTAAGAACCGGAGAAAGCTTGCGGGGTGCCCTCGCTGCGTGGGGTCGCTGACACGGGATTCTCACAGCGGCTGGAGTGGGGAGGGCACATGCGTGTCCTTTGGGTGCGGTGTTACATCACAGCTCGCCCTCCCTGGGGCTGGTTAGGTGCCCGCGTTACACTGGGCACCCAAGGGCTATCTCCCTATAAATAAGGAGGGTTTCCTTGCTGATGAATTGATGGTGTTGGAGTCTCAGATTTCGTGTTCTCTTCTTTTTCTAGATCTTGTGGAGAATTTCGACGAGGCTTCCAAGAATGAGGCAAACTGAAGGGAGTAGGAGTAGTCGGTTTCTGACGAGAGTAAAACTTGAGGAAGCTTCTGGGAGCTGCTGTTTTATATTATGACTGCTTTTTAAAATTGTTTTGTTTATGATCTGATAAAATCTAGATCTCTAATATTTTTAAGCTCAAGCCCCTTTGACAGTGCAGCTCTTTTCAGTTTTTGCTTATATACAAATCATTCTTTGCAGCTAATTAAGCTGAAAAAGCCTGGGAATAAAGTTTGAAACAAAGATTAATAAATTTCTTCGTCTAGTATGTGATTTTAATTTTTTCATTTCATTGAAACATTTGTGCACTGTTCACAAGGTTGAATTTTAGGAAGCTTATCATGGAATCTGATTAAAGGTGTCAAATGTATGAGAGCTGTATTCCTAAGTGGGTTGCACACGGTGCCTTTTCTATATCTGTTTTTTGGTTTTAACATGTTTATTTTTATTTGAAAGGTTTGTAGAGGAGGGGTCGGGCCCAGCACGGTGGCTCAGTAAACTAAATCCTCGCCTTGCATGTGCCAGGATCCCATATGGGCAGCAGGCACTATCCCATCTGCTCCGCTTCCCTTCCAGCTTCCTCCCTTGTGGCCTGGGAAGGCAGTAGAGGACAGCCCAGAGCCTGGGGATCCTGCACCCGAGTGGGAGACCCCAGGAGAAGCTTTAGATTGGCTCAGCTCCGGCAGTTATAACCATCTGGGGAGTGAACCAGCAGATGGACAATCCTTCTCTCTGTCCCTCTTTCTGTAAATCTGCCTTTCCAATAAAAAAATAAATCTTAAAAAAAAAAAAAAAAAGAATCTTCCATCTGCTGCTGCCTTCCCCAAATGTCCACAGTGACGAGCTGAGCTGATCAGGAGCCCCCTCCAGGTCTGTAGGTGCGAGGACCCAAGGTCTTGGGCCGTCCTCCACTGCTTCCCAGGCCGCAAGCAGGGAGCTGGATCAGAAGTGGAGCAGCCGGGACACCAACCACTGTCCAGACGAGAGGGTCCGCCTGCCACGCTTGCCGGCCCCGTGACATCATGTTTTTTGATGATGATTATTAGTGTGTTGAGTGCCTTACGTGTACCTTATCTCAGTTAAAAAAAAGGGACTAGTAGTTCCATTTTGGAGATAAAACCTGAAATTCAGTCTTCCAAAAAAAAGTGGAAGTAGTGTGTCTTGCAGTCCCCTTCTATGTAATTTCAGGCCAAGAATTTATGTTTTCATTGCAGCTTGCAAGTACTTTTTGAAAATACCATACTACACCTAAAGGTCATGTAGGATTTAGTTAACTAAGCCAAAAAAATTGAAGATGTGTGTAAACAGTGTTTGCACTTTGTTACATTGTGTTACCTTCTCCAAAGGCTGTCTGCACTGCTACAATGGGCCCTAGCCAGGATCCCATCGGTTCACAGAGACACAAGGAAGTGGGTGTTGTCTGGCTGGGCTCTGCTGTGTGCACACTACACACTTCCTCCAAGTGCTGCTGGAGAGCTTCTACTTTCCCAGTTTCTGTCTGCTGGCTTGCTTCCCAAGTGGCCACAGTAGCTAGGACTGGGCCAGGACAAAGCCAGCACCCAGAACTCGATCAAGGCTTGCGTGGGAGTGACAGGGACCCAAGTACTTGGGCCGTCGTCGCCTGCTGCCTCCCAGGGTGCCTGTGGGTGGGGGACTGGGCCTCAAACCTAGGTGCACACTCAAGGTGTGCAGGTACTCCACGCAGCAGCTCAACTTTGTACTGAACACCTGCTCTGCACACATTGGGAGTGTGGTGACCGGAAATATTCCCAGTTGATCCCAGGAGACGCTGGGGTGTCAGCCTGTCTGGCAAGCTGTGGCACGCACGGTCGGAGAGGACAATGTGGACGGGCCACACCTCTCCTGACAGCCTGCACACGAGACAGAAGCCAGCCAAGGTTAAGCCTGCAAGATCCACATTCGGCTCTTCATTGTCAAGAGATGATGTGGGTACCTCTGATCCATTAGGAGAGTCTGAGTGGGCTGGGTTATGCTACGCTTAACAAATAACCAAGGAAGTGGAGTGCCTGCTAAGGGTTAGCCCAAGACGGGTGTGGTTTGCCTGTGGCTGGGCCCCACTTGACTCCAGGAGCAGCCTCTAATTAGAACATTGCCAAGGAAAAGATGCTTAACAGCCAGCTGGCACCGGCAGCGTGGGCTGGGAAGTGAGGCACAGCCGACAGCTTTCCTCAGATGGAGTCAGATGGGCCCCGGGTGGTGGTGGCGGGACTGGGGAAGGAGACTCCTCAGGCCTCCACATTGAAACAACAGGATCTGTTTCCTCCTGTGCTTGACAATTCCTACAGCTGCTGTCACACGGTACAGGCTCTCTGTTCCTTGGGCTTATGGCTTATTGCTGTCAGCTCCACCCACCCCGAAAGATCCAGCCACACAGAGGAAGACTTCAGGAGAAACGTTTCAGATCGCGCAGCCCTGCCAGTGGCAGGAGCTGGTTGAGCTGGAGGGGCATGGCATTCTGGTCTGCCTGGTTGTTGGCTATTTGCTATAAAGATGAGCTCTCGAACCGGTTCCAGCTGGATCTGAAGAAGGAAGACACTGACATGGCATTTTTGAGAATTCATAGGATTACTACTCATTTATTGAAATGACACACGTGTTATCCCCATAGTAACCGTGGTTGCACAGGACAGGGAAACAGGCTTAGAAACAGACGGACGCTTGGGTTTGATCTCAATGCATCATTTTTTTTTTCTCCAATTACTCTTGGATTTAAGTTCTTGCCTCCCTTGTCCCTGACCCTGGTCCCCAGAAGAACGTATGTGTAAGCAGACTCTATCAGTGATGTTTTTTCCAGAGAAGTCTGGAGACGTCCCATAGCACTTGTCAACTTCTCCAAAACGGGCTTTCATCACTGCAATCAGTACAGTCTCGATGCCATGTTTGCAGCAGGCTTGGGGAATGCAGTCCCGGTCAGCAAGGAGTGGCCCCAGCGTGGACACGCAGGGCGCTGTAAAGCCAGACAGTTGGATTATTTTTAAAATGATAGCTTTTTTAAATGTCAAGGTGGATTGGAAAAAGTTCTTTGGCTCTTAAAATTATATCAAGCTGCTCAAAGGGAAAATTGCCAATGTTTTTTTAAGATCCTGGACGCTTGGGTGAAGGGCTGTGCCCCTTGAAAAGCCAGGAAGAGTACCCGACCAGCATGAAGGGCAACACGCTGGCAGTGACATAAACAGGGAGGGCCCGAATGGGCCAGCGGGTCTAATACACAGGGAGGAGTTGGAAGGTTGGCAGCCAGCAACAGCAGTTCTCCTATATGTATTCCTGGGACAACCACAAGGTATTAGAATTGGATCAGCTGTTTTTGGCAGCCAACAGGGCTGGGAGATAAACGGCCGGAGAAGGGCCCAGGATGTGCCAAGGCTAAACAAAACATTTTTGATAGCCAAAGCTTTCAACAAACTTATGTTTGATCTTTATGGAAAAAATTGGCAAAGACGCCTGAAGGCATTTGGTAATACACACAAGATTATTTCCTTTGTCAAATCTTGCAAAACTGGCTTTGTTGACTTAGCTAAAGAACTCACCCACTTCAAATACTCACATTGACAAGCTACTGAAAGGAGAGAATTGCTCAACGAAGGGTATAAATGTGACTGTTTTAAGAGATGGTGGGGTTTTTGGAAGAGCAGTTACAGAGGAAGGCAAGTTGGAGTGCTTTGATCTGCTGGCCTACTCCCATGGGGCGCAGGGGCCCAGGGACCTGAGCCATCCTCTGCTGCTTTCACAGGCCAAAGCAGGGAGCTGCATGGGAGGTGGAGCAAACCGGTGCCCATCTGGGATGCTGGCACCTCCTCGCCAGTGTGCCAGCCACTAAAGTTCGTTACTTAAGGCCGGTTGTTTACCAAGGCTGAGGTTAGAAGGATAACGCCCTTCAGGCACATTCCAGAACCAGTGGTTGTCACACAGCGGGATTCACGGGATTCACGGCTGGGTTGCAGTTTACACAGAGGTGACACAGCTCACTTGGTTTGTAATCACAAACAGGTGTTAGCCAAGTAGGCAATGGAAGAAAGGACAATGTCACAGCACAGCAGGTTAAGCCACCGCCAGAGACTCCTGCTTCCTGTGCTGGGGAGCCAGCTTGAGTCCTGGTGCCCCCACTTCAGAGTCAGCTCCGTGCTAATTCATCCAGCAAGGCAGCAGAAGATGGCCCAGGTGCTTGGAGCCTGCCGCCCTCTTGGGAGATCCAGAGAGAATTCCTAACTTCTGGCTTCCGCCTTGTCCAGCCCTGGCTAGCGTGGGAGTGAAATCAGCAGATGGAAGATCTTTCTCATTCTCTAGCGCTCTGCCCTTCAGATAAATATGTAAATCTCTCTTAATAATAAAATCTGTTTTCTTTTTATTTGGAAGGCAGAAGAGCAGAGAGAGTCTCCATCCAGAGCCCAAGGGCTTCAGCCATCCTCTGCTTTTTCCCAAGGTCATAAGCGAAGAGCTGGATCAGAAGTGGAGCAGCGGGAACACACACCGTCCCCTGCTGGGATGCCGCTGTCACAGGCAGAGGCTTAACCTACTATGCCACGGCTCCACCCCATAAACAAAGAGAAGAACACACACTAAGAGGTAGGGAGGGGGGAACATGGTTGAGTGTGCGTGTGTAACTGCACGCAGTAGTGCTCTTCCTGTCCCAGTCGTGCCCTTGGCTCACGCCTGACCCCGCCTCTTACCTGCTCGTCAGTTCTTCCCCTTTTCCCACCTGCCCACTGCAGGCAGGAACCCTGTGCTTAGGTCGCCCACAGAGCGCACGCCTTCCCCTCACTCCGCACCTGCCGTGCCAGGGTCGGCTGCAGCCCCAGTTACCTCATTATTCATCATTTCTCTCCAGCTACTGAAAATGATCACCATCTCACGGCCCACCTCAATGCCTCCGTTTATACCGTTCACTATTGTGCACGGTGCCACGGGCCTCCCTGATGACAGAGCAAGGCCCCTCCCAGTGGGAATGACGACCTGCCGAAGCATCAGAAAGTCAGCTCGCTGCCCGGCTGGACCATCGCAAGGGTGGGAACTACCGTTACAGGATCACCCAAGACAGCCACAACCAGTGAGGTCGTTGAGGGGCCGTCCCTCGCACAGTCGTTGCACTGCCAACCACCTCGGGTGGAAATGCCCGGATTGCAGACTCGTCCGTGTCAGTGGGGTGGGAGATGTGTGGATCGGCCGCCCAGGTCCACGCACACGTGCAGGCTTCACGGTGATCCCACAGGCCCTTCCCGGGCCGTCGCAGCAGCATAACTCCCAGCCCAAGGAGCTCCAGGCAGCAGACCGGAAGTCTCTGCCAGGTGGGAGGCCGGATGCTGCCTGCTCTGCAAAACACACAAGCGTGCGACAGAATGCGATGTGAAGTCTGGGCAGACGGACTAAACAGCCCGAGTCACGATCCCAGCATCTTCAGGCCATGCTCCCTATTGCTGGAGGCTTTTCCAAGCTGCGGACGCTGAGCCCGGCCGGGCGTGGGGACATGCCTGTGGCCGCTCCAGCTGTCGCCCAACCCAGTCTTCTCCCAATCCGAGCCCCTGCGAGTTGACACGTGGATTTCTGTCCGATGAATTCCGTGGCCCAGCCTGGCTCGACCCATCACTGCAACCAGCTCTCTGCGTGAGCTGCCCGCTGAGTCCCACAGAAGCGAGCCCACAGTTCCCCTACAGAATCTGTCCCCAGATTCGGTTCTTTCACATTCAGGCTGGCATGTCCCATCCCTGGAACTTACCACCATCATCGTCATCGTCATCATCATCATAAAGGAATAAGCAAGTATTCTGACATACTGGTATAGTTAACCAGGCCCAGAATGCCCGCCTGTTCCTGGTTGCGTTTCTCCTGACAGTGTAACACTTGTCTAGGTACAAGACAGCCCAGGCAGTTGCCTGCAGCTGGAATGCTTTTGGAGAGTTTGAGCCGAGGCGCCCAAAGGGCCGGCTCTTCCTCCCAGCTGTGGGAACTCTCCGCAGCGCAAGGCCAACGTCTGTCCACAAGAGGGCAGCAGGGAGCAGCAGAACATCTACAGAGAAACCTTGGTGTGCACAGAGTCCAGCGAGCGCGGCAAGCTGCTAAACCAAAGGCAAACAGCGGCTCTATCGCTTCCACGCGTCTGGAGGGTGAACCCTTGGTTCCCCTAACAGGCATTCATAGCCGGAAGTGCTGAGTCCTTGAGTCCAAACCCGCAGCCCAAGAGACTTGGGGAGGTTGCCAGCCTCTGGCGTGGCTCTGTCTGCGCTGCCTTTGCTGCTGCTGCTGTCTGGAAAGGGAGACGGTGTCACAGCTGCCCATCGCGACCTTGGGGTTGCCACCCCACTGTGCTTTTGGGGTTCTCCCACGCTGGCCCCCCATCTTCCGTGATGTAAGCCACAGCGAACACTGACTGCGGGCAGGTGGAGTGAGCGCTCGCCTGGCAGGTAGGGTGGGATGCTGAGTGGAGCAGCCAGGCAGCCAAATATGCTGTATCCCCAGAAAAGGAACAATCACGAAGTGAGAGGCGCTGGGCTCGGGGGCGCTGGACACCCCGGGCTGTGTAACCACACAGGGGCTTGTGTGCAGCTCCGACTCCTGCCCCATGCCACAGTGGCACTACCAGAGCCTGCCTATCTGCCAGCGCCAGCCACAGGGGAACCCCAAGGCCTACCCAGGTGGGGCACAAGGTATCCCGAGACTGGCTGATGTGCCAGCAGAACCAGGGAAGGAGGGAACCCTGGGAGAAGGCGGCCATGGGCACCAGGACACCGCGGGCACTGTGGGAGCTGGGAACACGGCTGAGACCTGCAGGGGAAGATGCTGCTGTGACCCGTGCCCAGAGGGGAGACCCGGCCATGTCGGGGTACAGGGGGGCCCACGGGAAGAGCTTATGTGAGCCAAGACACGGAGCCCTGAGACAGAACCGGCCCAATGGCAGGACAAACACCTTACAAGTCAGGAGGTGGAACTTAGGAGCAAAACCTCAAGGGGCCAGGAAAACAGGGATAGCACCGACCCAAGCAACCCAAAAAACCAAGGCGCTCATTTATTGTAGGATAAGGAAGCAAAAGAAAAACGCCATCAGGTTCCCTTATTGGTGCAGGAATAATTCATCTTTGCACAATCCTAGTCGCACAGGCGGCGAACATGGATTAATGAAATGAGAGGCGCTGGCAGAAAATGAAGGTGACTGTGGTGCAGGATTAAGACTGTATGTATCATACAAATTATACTTATTAAAGTAGCAACCCAAGCCTGTTACCGGTTATGCTTTTCTTCCAGCAAGTCGTTTTGTATTTCTTAAAATCCGAGGTGCTTTGGGTAAGTGTTTGAATCCCGCGGGTGTGAAGATTTCACGTTACTGCAGCATGACTGCCCCCTGGTGGACAGTTGGTGTATGAACCACCAAGTGCAACCCGGTTTCAGCAAGGTTAAAATGAGGGAGAAAGAGTGCGCTGGACATCACGGACACAGAAGAGGCTTAAATAAGACAAAGGTTAGGGGCCACTTCCTTGTTTCAAGTTAATTTTATAGCATGGACTTAAATCCTGACTATTTGATCCTTAGCTGGGGTCAGATGGTGTTAATGGAAAAGCGCTGTTACACAAAAAGACCACCAGGGGGCAGTGCAAAGTTATCGGAGCAGCACACTGGGGAAGCTTTGGGGTCAGGAGGGTTAACTTAGCTCTCTATTTATTTATTTATTTATTTTAAAAATTCTTTTATTTTGGTTATCGTTACATAGTTGATTGGGGCACAAAGGGTCAAGGGCTACAGGAAAGTGGTTAAGACCATTGTTTCCACATTAGTATTTTTTTTTCTGTGTCCGGGGTAAGGGGAGATAAAGGGAGACGCCCCACCCAGCCTCCCACCCATCCCAGGTCCCCGATGTGGGGCACGCTCTGAGGGTCTTGTTCAAGTGGTTTTGATAGTTCAACAGTTCTGAATTGCTGCCAATCTCGCCGTTCCAAGCACGATGAAATCTTCAGAATCCACTGGCTGACATCGTCTCTTCATGGTTGGGGTTCTGAGATCAGCAATTCAGTTGGAAGGATCCCCAAAGAAACTTTGTCTGGGGTGATCCCAGACCCGATTCTTCTGTGAGTCTGCCAGTACAAAGTCCAGCACAGTCTGTCACCCCAATCAGCTTATGCACATGATGGTCATTGCAATTGCTGGGTCAGTTCTGTTTCCAGCCCTGTCCTCCACGCGAACCAATGGGTGTTTTTAGTCCAGCCCGATCCTGCCCACTTCATACTTGGCCCTCACGCAAACCAGTGGGAGCTGTAGCCTTGTCAGGGCGACTCCCCATAACCAGGCCGCCCTTACCCTGGGTTCCCATGCTTGCCAGTTTGTACAGCAGGCTTGTCCAGTCTGTCCCACATCCTTGTACATGTCAATGGGCTTTGAAGCCTAGTTCAACCCAACCAGCCCTAGTTTCCAGCCCAAACATGTGCTGGCGGGCACCGGGTACCGTTCTGTCCAGCCACCCCTGCCCCAGTCCTGGTTTTCATGTTGTCCAGTGGGCATGGTTACCCAAGAAGGAGGTGCCCACTATTTCCTTACTGGGCCACTCCCAGATCATGCTCTCCGCAGGTGGTTCTGCAGTTTAACTTGACAGAGTCTGTTCCCCTCCCCCATGCCAGCCTCTGCCAGCTGATGCTGTGGCAAAGTCCAACCAACCCACACCCACTCTGATTTATGCTTGCACCAGTCGGAACAGTCAGCCCAACCTGGCTTTCCCCTGATTTAGCTCACATGAGGCCAACAGGTGTGGCAGCCCTGCCTGGTCTGGTCTGCCCCCATCCCAGCTCACGCTCTCCAGTGGGAGTGGTTGTCCAGCAAGGGAGCCCGCCACATTCCCCCTGCCGGCTTCTTCCCCTCCCCTCTAGGTCTCACATGTGCTGGTTTGGTGCTGTGGCCCAGTCTGGCTCGGCCCTCCTCGCCTCCGTTTTTGCCAGTGGCAGGCAGGGGTTCTGGAAGCAGCTCTTTGCCATCCGGCCCTAGCAGCTGCTGCCACAGGGGGAGGGAACCAGTGGGAGGGAAATCTGTGTCTCTTCCTCTCCCTTTCAAATAATAAATCTTTAAAAACAAAAAACAAAAAAAAGTGTTCTTCTGCTAGAAATGACAATACATCTTGATTTACTCATATTTAATTTATTTTAGTTATATTGTGTAATACAATGAAGTGTCCTAACTGGACAGGTAAACTAAAAATTCTAAAAAAAAAAAAAAATCCAATTCATCTTAATAATCTTACATAATTTAAAAAATTAGCATGTAAACCGACAGAGTACTTACTTAACGTCTTTCTGTAAACAGCCACACTGAGCACTTTTTACTGGGACCATAGCGAGTCCTTCCCCTACAGACACACGGCAAACCCCAGGCAGGCAACGGGTTAGTACAAGAACAAGGGCGGGAGAGTCCCCACAGACCTCAACATCACAGCACTTGCTACAAAGACACATAGCCATCTGTACCATAAAAATGTACATGCCACAAAACATTAATTTAGAATCTTAAATATACAGCATATACATTTATTTAAAAAAAAAAGCATCAACATTAATCTTATTATAAACCAGTGAATTACTCAAAGGAATACTTATTAAAACTACTAGAAATCAGTAAATATTGCAACTGAGGTAAAATGTGTACGTAAACAGAGCTGTCGTGAGGGACCAGGCGGCCGGGGGAGGGCAGACGCCACCCTGCGTGCCCGCGTCACTCCTTGACATTGTGCAGCAGCTTTAGCAGGTGGGCCTCGATAACCTGTTGGACTAGAGCACACGATGCTGAAATGTAAAGACTGCCGAATGCAACTGGCCACCCGCAGGGTTCTCCTAAAGCACAAGCTACTTGCAAACAGCACACACGCTTCCTCCGAGGGCAGCAATAAAAGGCAATAAGGTCAAGAACGCCTTGGTAAGTATCCAGGTATCATGGGTTTCATATTTTTGAAACCGAGCAGAGTCCAGAGCACAGCATTTGACTGTGGGAATATTGGCTCAGTCGGGCACACACGGGTGTGCTTGTCCCACCGTAAGCACTTTTAGCTGATGGGGAGACAGGAAGTGAAGCACCTGCAGGCCTTGCAGGGTTCCTTCTGCGCACGGTTCAGCAGCACGGCAGGTGTGAGAGCGACATGCAGTGCTGTGCGACTCAGCGATGCCGATGAGGTCACCGCCTTCTGCTGCTACAGAATCCACCCCCATGAACCCCGAGGGTTCTGTACTCACCACTTCTATAGCCCAGGGCCACCGCCAAGTCCATAGAATTATAGCCAGAGTCGGTTTCGATTGTTGGGTCAGCTCCATTTTCTGTACCAGAATAGAAGAGAAAACCTTATAAAACAGCAGGCAGATCTTCAGCAGCCTGAAGTGTATTTCAAGCTGAACACACTGCAGAGGACACAGGGCGCACAGAACTCGCTTTGCCGCGTTTGAGGGAAGACACCCCTAACATAAAGGAACCCTGTGCCATGCTGGCCTCACCCACAAGTGACCACAAGTCTGCAGAAGGACACTTATGGGCAGCAAAGACAAGAGAGGATTCCAATAGGAGCGCCAAAATGAAAGCAACAACCACAAAAGATGCAGCTGCGGCTCCAGGGGGACAGACCTGCTGCTCGGGCGACAACCCCAGGGGGACAGACCTGCTGCTCGGGTGACAACCCCAGGGGGACGGACCTGCTGCTCGGGTGACAACCCCAGGGGGACGGACCTGCTGCTCGGGCGGTAACACCAGGGGTCGGTGCCCTGGGGGAGGGCCATGCCCACAGGGGGTACCTTCTCAAACCTGTTTTTTGCTGGCTTACCTAACAGCATCTTGACACATTTCACGTGATTTCCATGTACAGCGTAAAGCAAAGGTGTCCCTCCATTCTGCAAAAGGAAAATGTGAGCAAGATTTAACCCACTCCATGTTGCTGGGAGTGGGTTGTTTTGCTACAAGTTGGGCATGTGAAAGTAATTTTACTCTCCTGCGAGGAGACTAAATCAGAATTAGCAATTGAGTTCTTGACAGTAATTCTTTCTTCTAAGTAATTCATGAACTAATCTTCCAGGTAGTTGACACATTGATCATTTACCCCAAGCCAAACAAATCATAGAATTTATTTCAGTAATTAAAGAGGTAAACTATTCGTGAGTCGTAAAGAGAGAGAGGCAAGGAGCAGGCGGAGTGGGAGAAAGGCCACCCACTAGGTCAATCCCCAGACGCTACAGCGATGGGGACGCGGGCAGAAGCCGGGAGCCAGCACCTTGACACAGGCTCTACCAGGTGGCCGCACGCAGCCACCTGAGTCCTCACCAGAGCTTCCGGGGTCCGTATTCCGAGGAGCCAGAGCCAGGCACTGGGTCCAGGTTCTCCGACACAGTCACTTAGAGCTCGGGGCCATGGACTCACCCAGTCATATTCATTGACGTCGACTCCACAGTCGAGCAGCATTTTGACGATGTCGGTGTAGCCTTTACTGCAGGCCAAGGACAGGGCACTTTCCCGGCCATTTCCCAACAGCTGGGGATCAGCACCCTGCCGTGCAAAGTGGAGACGAAAGACTGTTAACTGAAACAAGGATGCGGTTACACCCGTCAGCAATAATTACAGTTCAACACTGGAGTCAGGTCATGTTCTGAGGTTAAAAAAAAAAAAAAAACAAAAAAACACATCATGGAATCTTTTCTCCAGGGCCACTGCTGTTACCAAGACGGTCTGCCGCCTTCTCTGCTCCCCCTGCATCCATGCTAACTACGCTCCCTCTCTGGTTGGGTCACAGCTCCTCCGGGAAGCCTTCTATAGGGCTGACAGGACTTACACGTCTCTCTGCACATACAATTATTTCTCACTGTGTCAGGCACCATTAGTACTGTCTTCCTAGCAAGGTCCAGATTCCACAAAAATACGCAAAGCATCGAGAACGTTTGGTATCCGCCATCATTACATCTAGCTGCTTGGAGACATGAAAACCACTGAAGACTTAACTACACTTAGCACTAGACAGACACGTTCGCTGAGGCATTTTCCTTACATTCTGAAGTAGAAACTCTACCACAGCTATTTGCCCGTGTGCCGCAGCCCACATCAGAGGGGTAAATCCTTCTTCATCCGTGTGATTGATAACATTTTCTATTTAAAAGAAAAGCAATTTTTGTGATCTAATTTAACAACCACATATTAATATCACTATGAAAATACTGGCATTCCAAAAAGTCGATCTTATTATTCAACGCAGTTCTCTGTGCGATTCTTGCTTGCTGAAGTACTCCTCGCACCGCTGCACTGTGCAGTCTGAGTATTCACCCGTGCCTCGTGCCTCGGCGCAGACACTACCAGGTAAGATGCACGCTCAGTACCAGGGGTCAGCAGGACACTGACCTTGGCCTCCAGAGACCAGTTTCAATTCTGCGCTGTCACTTTCCAACACTTACTCTCTCCAATACAATGAATAATATCTTGCTTGCTCTGATATAGTTAGGAGGATTACAACAAAAAATAGGGCTGTGGGATAGCCCTTAGCATTACATAAATATACATCCTAGGGCTCTCTGCTACTCCACTGCTAACATTCCTGACTTTGAATTTCTCCTATTCTCTTTGAAATGTAATACAGCAACAAGGTGGAGGAATCCACCATGGGGGGAGGGCCCGGGGAGGGGTTGGGGGAATCCCAGAACCTATGAAACAGTGTCACATAATGCAATGCAATTAATAAAATATATATATATATAAAGAATTTCTCCTAATCTTGTGGATGAATATGAGTGAGGACTGCATAGTGTGAAAACAGTAGTATCATGAATTACACCCTGAACCTTACTTGATTTCCTGGAATTAGTCCATTAAGTTCCAAAATTTCTGTTTCCTAGTCAGCGAAGAAAATCTCCATATATTTATAGGCAATCAGAAATACAATGATTATATCTTTCTTAGAAAAGAATGGCGTGATTCAAAACTCCCTGAAGTCCATTAACAATACTGAAACAACTGGTGATTTTTCTGAAAAGCTAAAGTTAAGCTTTATCTTTATCTCATTGCATCAAAACATATTCCACATGAGTCACAGATTGAAATATAAAAATAAACAGAAACCCACAAAAGCTTCAGGATAATGAGTAGATAAAATTTTCTGTTACCTTAAGAGTGGGAAATCTCTTCTAAGCAGAATATAAAACCCAGAAGTTGCAAAGAAAAAAAATTAATTTAGCACTTAAAAATGCTAAACAGTGGTTTGAAAACATCATAAGCAAAGGCAAAGGCAAAATGCACAGAAGGGGCAAAAATGCAGGTGACACAAAAGCCAAGAAGCTGTTTTCCTCAACTTACATGGGGTTCCTATGTATCAATCTACAGAAGATAGTCTGCACTAAAAAATTAAAACAGAGTATTTTAGAAATTAATCTGATAACATCTATAAAAGAAAAATTACTATACCCCTTGACTCAGAAGACTCACGCTATGGGTATACTACAGCGTCCACAATGCTGGCAGCTGATAATCGCAACCACAGGAACGGTTAAAAGAACAAAGAACATAATATACATGTGTGCAATACATTATGACGTTATGGGATTATCAAAGAAACAAATAGACCTTTATGTGCCTATACGGAAAGGTCTCCAAAACATAAAGTGGAAAAAAAAAAGAAGCCTGCAACTTATCCTTTTTCGTTATCCAAAACAGCAACAGAAATGCTTCCTAGAAAAAAACTTTCTGAAGACTTCGGAAATTCAATATTTGCATTTGAAAGGAAAGAATAGGATCTTACAGGAAGTTCCAACTTTTACACTTTATGCTTTTGAACTCTCTGATAGGGTATCTTGCCTGGTGAGATTATACCTTTATGCTTCCCTGTACTAAAATAAAACAATGACACACACAACAAACATCACTGAATGTATTGAAGAAAATACGTAAAAGTAGGCCATTACCTTGCTCAATTCGAGTAGCCAGATAGAGCATCTCTCCCTGAGCTGCCAGCTGGTGAACAGACAAAGCTGAAACAAACCACAGACACTCATGTCTACCTGCAGGTCACATGACCAGCACCCCACGGCTCATGTCCACCTGCAGGATGTGTGATAAGAACCCCATGGCTGGACCCGGCGTGATAGCGTAATGGTTAAGGTCCTTGCCTTGAACGCACTGGAATCCCATGTGGGTGCCAGTTCTAATCCTGGCAGCTCCACTTCCCATCCAGCTCCCTGCTTGTGGCCTGGGGAAGCGTCAAGGATGGCCCAAAGTCTTGGGACCTTGCACTCGTGTGGGAGACCTGGATTAGGTTCCTGGCTCCTGGCTTCAGATCGGTGCAGCATCGGCCATTGCGGCCACTTAGGGAGTGAATCAGCAGACAGAAGATCTTGTTCTCTGTCTCTCCTCCTCTCTGTACATCTGCCTTTCCAATAAAATAAATAAATCTTAAAAAAAAACAAAAACAAAACTCCATGGCTCATGTCTACTTGCAGGACACATGACCAGCGTCCCACGGCTCATGTCCACCTGCAGTACACATGACCAGCACCCCATGGCTCATGTGGGGCAATAACACTCTTTTCCAGAAAAATGCTATCATTTAAAAATTATTCTCAAGGATTTATTTCTTAAAAACAATTATCTAAAAATTAGAGTTACACAGAGAGAGAGGGAGAAGCAGAGAGGTCTTCCATCCAATGGTTCAGTTCCCCAAACAGCCACCAAGGACCAGAGCTGGGCTGGTCCGAAGCCAGGAGCTTCTCCCATGTCTCTTCCATGCGCAAGAGCCCAAGCACTTGGGTTATCCTCTGCTGTCTTCCCAGGAGCATTAGCAGGGAGCTGGACTGAAGTGGAGCAACTGGGACATGAGCGGGTACCAATAAGGGATGTTGGTATCGCAAGCAGTGGATTGGCCTATGTCATGGTGCCAGGCCCAAAAAACATGCTATTATTTTTTTTCAAATTTTTTCTTTTCTTCTTTTCCAGATTTATTCAGTTTTATTGCAAAGTCAGATATACAAAGAGGAGAGACAGAGAGGAAGATCTTCTGTCTGCTGATTCACTCCCCAAGTGGCAATGGTCGGAGCTGAGCCTATCTGAAGTCAGGAGCCAGGAGCCTCTTCTAGGTCTCCCACATGGATGCAGGGTCCCAAGGCTTTGGGCCATCCTTGATTGCTTTCCCAGGCCACAAGCAGGGAGCTGTATAGGGAGCGAGGCTGCCGGGACCAAAACCGGTGTCCATGTGGGATCCTGGAGCATTTAAGGAGAGGACTTTAGCCAGTAAACTACTGTGACAGGTCCAGTGCTATCATTTAAAAGCCTAGCTTAAAGTACATACCAACATTACAAATAACCATTCTATAATGGATAATTCACTGATATATATTTTTCATACATATGTTTCAACTTCTGTAAATTTGTAATCATTATTAATCAAGAAATGGCTTAGCTACTTAATTTTAAGAATGTTACCTGTTTCCAAACTTACAAGGAAGACAGGGTTAAAAGACAGAAACACTACTTTTTGTTCTTATTGTCTGACTCCATTTAAGTTCTAAATATTTTTATTCAACATTTTGTGGCTTTCCTTACTATTAAGTTTCCATGGAAAATTGGCATTGAAAGTAACTTTCATGAGTGTAGGCCTAGCCTTGGCTAATTAGCTGCATATTCCTAGAAAACTGACACAATACTTTTTAAACACGTGGGATGTAAATCATATGATTTCTTTCCTTTTTAAAAAATATTTATTTTATTTATTTGAAAGGCAGTGTTAGAGAGAGGGAGAGATCTTGAATCTGCTGGTTCACTCCCCAAATGTTTGCCAACAGCCAGCCCTCGGTCAGGTCAGGTGGAAGCTGGCAGTTTTCTCCTGGGTCTCCCACATGTGTGCGGGGGGCCCAAGCCCTTGGGCCATCTTGCTGCTGGCTTCCCAGGCACACGAGCAGGGAGCTGAATCAGAAGTGGAGCAGCTGGGACTGGAATCAACACCCATCCGGGATGTTGACAGAAGCTTAACTCATTACGCCACAATGCTGGGGCCTCTAGTTCTTTTCAATTCATTAATTCTGATCAGAATATTTTAGGAAAATCTTTTCATTTCCAAGAAAGGCACTGTGTTGGCAGGGTTCTCCCTTCACAAATGTAAGTACTACTTGGTCACTGACTTCAGTAATAAGACTGGGTAGCCTTAACACACAAAGGAACCGATTAGAAGGCATGGGTAAATTTGTGTAAGCAAAACAAAAGCAGTGCACTAGTGGAGTGGGAGTTGCAGGGAAGGAAAGGGTCTTCCAGCGACAGCAGGTGACTCGGAATGGGGGCGTTACTGTGTTGTAAAGGCAGACTGCGCCAGGCTTCAGAACGGACACACATTCACATTCTTTTCTCAAACACAGTTACTAAGTACAACTGTACAGTTGCTAACCACTTCTTCTCTCATTAACATACCCATATCATATAAATATCTTCTAGTTCAGGTAGAGAAAATTAATCTTGTTTCCTCTACAATGAGGGTACATTGTTTAAACTGTGGATTCAAAGTTTGAAAAAAAATCATGTTTATATATTCATATTATTCAAATGTAATATCATAACAAATCACTGAGATTTAATCACAAAATCGTTTACTGGTGAGTAATCCAGTTTACTAGTAAAACAAGAAACTTCGTACCCCAAGAACACAAAATGTCTTAATTTGCACAAAGTCCAGAAGCACTCAATTGTCTTTATAGTAAAGCTATAACGGTTTTAATATTTCTTTTTTTGTTGGGGGGGGGGGGTTAAATATTTCAATCTTCGTTTTCAACACAGTAACATAAACCACAAAATATTCAAATATACAAAGGTGTATGACAAGTTTAAATTATTAAAATTACTAAGATACCATTTAAGCTGGCAGGAGGGATATGCATTTAATGAAACTACTGTTTAAAAGCCAAACTCTTCCAGCCAGCAGGAGCATCAGCAGCCGGTACTCACAATTCGCCAGCAGAGGTGTGGTGGAGACCTCATTTCCTCGGTGCTTGTTGGTCAGAGTGGTCGACTGCTTTATGGGCGAGAAGTGCTTTGTTGTGGAGGGAGTGTAGACGTGCCTCATTTGGACTCCCGGGGAGGGAGATGCGTGGATATTACACTCAGCTACGGAAAACGAATTTAGACACCACAAAACAGCATTATAATGACAAAATTCGTGATTTAATTCCTACCTATCAAAGGACATTATTTTCATCATAAAGTCTATACTAGCATCATGAAAGCTCCAGAAAGTGAAGAATTAATCTTGAGCAAGATCATCCTAAGAGGTTAGCTTTATCATATAATAGCATGATGCATTAAGACACAATGCAAATCCCATACCTATGAACAACTATAAAAAGCCATCCAACAGTTCACAAATCATCTACCTGATGAAAAGCCACACACAATTTCAACCTTTTTTGCATCAAGATAAGCCTGTCTAATTTCTTTTGTGTAGGAGCTTCCCGAAGCAGCCTTATATTAATACCTTGCTTTTAAAAAGGCCACGGAATTTTCTTTCTCATCTCATAAAATAAAGCAACTTCATCAGAGAATTTGTCATTTAAAAACTTTAAAAATCAACACGCGCTTTAAGATGGACATTACATAAACTTAGTCTTGGTTTCTGTGTGATTCTAGAAAGTCCCAGTACGACTCTACTCAAGCTGAAAATCTCCTGATAGGAAGAGGAAAACAAAAAAAGCCAAGAACAATCACAAAACTCCACGCACCCCCAGTCCCCAATGTGTACCCCCCCCACACATCCAAATAAACAAAAACAAATGCAGATATATTTATACCATAACTTTCAACCTTTAAATAGGACAGATGCCACTTCCAGGTCCGAGTTAACTTGATCTTGAATATTTTTACTATCTTCTTCGTTCAAGGACTTCACAAACCGAGAGCACACGTTCATATCAAACCGGTTTGGCAAAATGAGCTTCATTCCCATGGCCACGCCCTGAGCGGACCCGTCTTCTGCATGCGGGTCCAGTGGGTGTTCCATCTTGATGTCGGGCATGCCCACGAGGCTCTCCGCACTGGGGCACGCTTCCACTATGAGCTGGGCACCAATGTCCAGACTCGCCGATGTAGCCATGTCTGCAACTCCAGGGCCACTAACTAAAACAGCTCTTCATGCCCAGGAGTATCCAATATATTCTCGAAATTCAGATTTTTAGAAGAAAAATCTGAAACAAAAAATTAGAAAAACGCATTCCATCAATTGAGGCAAAAAGTACAAAAAATAATTGTCTTATGCAAGTATTCAAACAGTGCTTTTGCACACCTACAATTGCTCCTGCATATAGCAGAAAGCAGATACATAACACAACTTCCAGTGGCAGGAAAACCTGAGGATAAATTCAAGCCCTGCAGTTCCTCAAGTTGGCCTTGCACTTGGTCCACTGCTAACCTTACAGACCCTTGGCCAAGAGCAAATGGAGCACTAACATTCTCCCGGGCACTGCATAACTGCCAAGTAGATGAAAGATGAAGCTAACAACACAAACACACTTAATTCTAAAACTGTAACCTCTCACTTAAGAGTTCATTTGTGCAACATACTAAGTTACAGTGGCTCCCAGTCTCCCATCCAGGCCGGCTCCCAGCACAAGTCCTAATCCTGAGATTCTCCTTTCAGGTCGAGGCGAGGCTCCGCCCCAGCAACCTGCACACAACACAGCACCAGCAGGTTCATTTTTCGCCCCAGCTTCCGCAGTTCTTCCTCCTCCCTCGCTTCCTAAACCCAGCTGTGCGATCCTGGTTGCCCATGAAGCTTTCTGGGATCCCTTCATCCCTGAGACTTTTGCATTGCAAATGATGGCTTGCAGCCGGAAAGCACCGGGATTTTGAGGAGGAAAAAGGGGGGGAGAAGAGCAGCAGACGGGCCTGGCGGGAGGGGTGGGACCTGAACGCTTATTATCTTAGCATGATTACCGACGGGAGAAGCTAGGCTGACAGGTTAGAATGCTCGACAGCCGGGAACGGGGCGGGGAAAGGACCTGACCCCCAAGAGGATGTAATGAGGATAAACAGCGCGGCGGGGACCCCCTCACCTGTCAGGACACTCGCGCGGGGTTCCGGAGTGTGTTCACCACGGGGGCTCCCCCGGATCCTTCCAGGTGAGCCGAGCAACGTGCTGGGGAAAGGGATGGCCTCCTCACGCGCGGCAGCGACGCCCGGCGCCCCGCAGTCCTGACGGCCCGGCCTTCGCACCGCCGGCGGCCGCGGGTTCGAGGCCGGCTACCGCTGGCTGGGGCCGTGACGTCACTTCCGAGTGCTCCCCGCGCCGGCCGGCTCCACAACGCTCGGCTCTGAGCGCCGCGCGGAGGACCTCCGGGTCACGCGGTACTTCAGCCCGAGACTCAGGATGACCGCGGTCCACGGCCGCCGATCACTAACGCGAGGCCGCCGCCCGTGAGTCGGGGACGCCGTCTCTAACTTCCCGACACCCTCACCGGGGCCCCGCCCACCCGGGCCGCCCTCTGCGTCAGGCGGGCCTGGCGTGCGTCCCGTGAGCATGCGCCGTGACGTCATCCGCGCGCGACGCCCGGGTCGCCGTGTGCGTCCGCGACTCCCGGTGGGTCCGCGTGTAAGTTGCGCGGAACCGTCCGGGCCGGGAGCTGGCGGACGCCGGAGGGTTGTCTTCGAGGCCGAGCGGAGGTGGGTGATGGCGCCTCGGCTGCGGGAAGCCCGGAGGCACGGCGGGGTGCTGCGTTAGTGGTTCCCGGCGCCCCCCGGACCCTCGCCCCGGTCGTGCTGCGCGGGCGTCTCGGGCGCAGGGTGGAATGTCGCGTGTCTTTGCTGGGCCGGTTCTCTGGGTTTCGAATGTTCCCTCCCCGTAAGCGATGGAACCGTTGCTCTGTTCCACCTCGGGTGTAGTTTTCGGAACGCTCCTCAGGTGGAATTAAGAATCTCGACCCGCACTTGCGGTGCCGCTGTCGGTCCCCACGGGGGCGGGGGGCGTCTGCTGCCTCGTTGAGTCGCAGGGTTGCTTGCGATCGCGCTCCCCCCTCGCCTCTAGTTTACTGTGTAATCTGCAACTTCTGCTCCTGCATCTCATTTCTCCCATGTAAAGTCTTCAGGTGTCTCTCACAGATCCGCCTGCACTGTGCCAACAGAGAGAGGCTGGGATGGAGGGGCGGACACCTGACCCACGGATGGCTTCTGTGTTTCCAGGGAGCCCAGGAGGGTTTTGGAATTCCAGGATGAGTAGCATCCATGAAGTCGTTTACCTGTTAACATTGACTCTGTTACAGTCAGGCCTGGGAAGGTGCCCTGATTGAGTTACATGTCTGTTCAAAGTTTTATCCTATTCTGTCGCTGATTTAGAGTTTGATTTTAGACATCGTTAGTCCTGTTTTCTGTCTTTTTTTTTTCTAAGATTTTAAAGTCAGAGCTACAGAGAGAAGGAGAGACAGAGAAATCTTCCATTTGCTGGTTTACTTCCTAAATGGCTGTGTGGTGTTAGAGTCCGGGCTAAAGCCCCCAGGACGTCAAGGTGCAAGCTAGACAACCCCCAAAGAATGACAAAGAGTCTCACTGGTAATGCAAACAGCAAACGGAGTTTATTGCGCCAGCATGCTGGGGTCAAACGGCACTTGGGGCACGCAGCCAGCCAAGCAGGGCAGTCGGACCCCTAACAGCCCCAGACAGAAGCTTATATAGGCCCTTTGGGGCTGGGAAATACATCAAAAGTAACAACTTTAGACATGTTCATTTTTATGGCCTTCAGGCACAGGCAGCCTGTTCTGTTCCCATACCCATTATCTGTGGCTCATCCCATTCTCACGCCCTTATCTTCCTCCTGTTCCTGGGACCAGAGAAGAATTGTGCCCTTGCCCCCCTGCACCTGGGTTCACAAAGTTGCAGGACAGCAAAGAACGGATTTATCACTAAAGCGGAATCCTCCCAAAGTCCAGGCCCCTTCTGGCCTAGCAAAGTAGCACTTTTCTCTACACAAAGGAACCTCATCACACTGCCCAACAATAGCATTTTACCCACACTCTAACATTCCCTCCCCCCCCTTTTTGTTTTACACTGAGGAATCTTTCTCAGTGCGGGGTAGCTGTTGAAACTGCTGTTAGAGGATTAGCAAGTACACCTGCAGAAATTAGGTGTGGAGTGCTGAAGCCGGGAGCCAGGAACTGCCCCCAGCTTGCCCACGTGGATGGCAAAGATCCAAGTTCTTGGGCCGTCTTTGTCTGCCTTCCCAGGTGCATTAGCGGGAGCTGGAGAGGAAGCAGAGTAGCCGGGATGGGGTGCCAGCTTCAAAAGCAGCAGCTTAATACCCTGCCACGAAATGCTGACTCCTGAAACTCAGTATCCGGCGTACACATTAGAATATTCACTTTGCTTTCCTCTTGTGTTTTTAGGCTTTTGATGAATCAAGCCCCTGAACTATATTCATGATAAAATGCTATCTTATTAAGCTTAGCTTCAGGACACTTTGTATTTGCAACCTTACCTTTATGTTTTCTGCTGTCAAAAATGTGGACAGTAGGGGCACACGTTGTGGTGCAGTGGGTTAAACTGCAGCAAACACCTGCATCCCTTGGCTGAGCGCCTGGGGTCCAGCCCCTGTCCCCACCCCTGCCTGGCACTGTACCTGGGACACAGTGGACGAAGGCGCAGGTTCTTGGGTTCCTGCCACTGAAATGGGAGTTCCGACTCCTGGCTTTAGCCTGGCCCTGCTCTAGCAAAGGAGAGATAGTTGTTGCCGGCTCCCACTCTGTGTCCCTGTTTGCGTTCTGCCTTCCAAATGGTAGATAAATACAAATATCCATAAAGAGTGAACGCTGATGCAATATACTTCTCTCTAGCTTCTGGAAAGTGGAGCCAGATCTATCTGCAGGTGTCTAGGGGAGAGGACAGGTGTGAGCAGCGTGTGGTGTCACCCAGTAGGTGATGCAGGCTGGAGCCCTTCCTAGGATTCTTCGTGCTGCCAGGTGTAGATGGTCTCGCCTGGGTTACAGTGAAATGGTCTATGGGTCATTAATGTCTAAACTTCCACACAGACTGGAAGGAAAGCTTGTGGCAAATGGTAACTGTGAAAGTTTATGAATAGATACGGTGTTGACGTGGCATGTTCTTTTTTTTCAGACTAAGACAGTCACTGTAATCCTTTCCCTCATCAGTTCCAAGCTGTTCACATAAACAACAGTGCCATTCTGTGAAATCATGGCTGGCTATAAGCCTGTCGCCATTCAGAGCTATCCTGTACTCGGAGAAAAGGTCACTCAGGACACCGTGTACTGGAACAACTATAAGGTGAGTGTGGCAGTGGCAGCAGGGTTGTGTTTCTGCCGTTTTCTCAGCATAGTCTATACTTGTGCTGACACAACCAGTAATTAAGAGTCATCTGTCAGCCTACAGGAGGGACAGATCATTTAATTCCTATTTTTTTTTTCTTGGAATTTTGTTAATAAAGTTGCAATTATTTTATCAGCTTAACCACGTGAGTATTTAACAGAACAGATGATTAAAAAATGCCAAGTGAATTACATTTTAGGATAGGAATCTCACGCGAGAGGACATATTCAGGCCTTTGTTAATGGAAGGAAGAGGCAGTGTGGAACTAGTTCTGTAGCCTCTAAAAAGGCTTATAAGAATGGTTTTTTTTTTAAAAGAATGAATAACTAAATTGAAAAATGGAAAACGCTTAGGAATGGCAGGTTTGTGAAAAAAAGGAAACATAGATGACCAATAAATATATTAAAGAGCCTCAAGTTCCCTCACAAATAAAGAATCCCAAGACAGTGATTCATGTGCTGTTTTTCAACTATGCTGATGGCATCCCTGAGACATTTCATCCTCCTGGCCTGAGCAGGGCAGTTGCTGCAGGCTCGTGGAGGCTGACTTACAGTGTCTGTCAAGATTTTTAAGAGGCACATGCCTTTCTGTTTTGTGCTGTTGTTAACAGCTTGGAACATATTCAGTGGATGTACTTCGCAAAATTTCTAAGATGTATGCATGCAAATGTTCGTTGAAGTGTTATTTCTAGTACAGAACCTTGAGGGGGAAAAAACCACGTGTTCATCAGTAGGTGGACAACGTTTGTCGTGAAGGGCGTCTTGCTTGTATGAAGTTGGCTCAGTGTGCTTCTGTAACTGTTGTGAAATTTGTCTTGCTGGCAACAGGGTTAGCCCTGCACGGGGGATAGGGCTGTTTTGCTTTCCTTGTGTTTTTCTGTTCAATACCACTTCATTAATATTACTCAGAACAAAAGGGAATGGTCAGGAAGAATCGATATAACTTATTAACTTTTTTTTTTCCATGAAGACCCCTGTTCAGATTAAGGAATTTGGTGCCGTGTCGAAAGTAGACTTTTCTCCGCAGCCGCCTTATAACTATGCTGTCACAGCTTCCTCAAGAGTAAGTTCAACGCTACATCTCTGCTTTTGTGTTCTCGCTACCAGTCTTGAGGCATGTGCTGAAATACTGTTTTGTATCTTGTAGATTCACATTTATGGCCGATACTCGCAAGAACCCGTGAAAACCTTTTCCCGATTTAAAGACACAGCCTACTGTGCAACTTTTCGGCAGGATGGTAGACTGCTCGTGGCTGGCAGTGAGGACGGTGGGGTGCAGCTTTTTGATATCAGTGGAAGGGCTCCCCTCAGGCAGTTTGAAGGCCACTCAAAGTAAGAGAGGGTTGGGTTTTCATATGCACTTGCTCGCTTTGTTGTAGGCTCTTGCTTGGGCTTAGAATAAAAATGTGAATGCCGCTCTGTGCGGGCTGTGCACCATGAGACACTTTTGGCTCCTGGTTGTCCTAAGGTGGAGTTTCTCACTTGAGTTCATGGGACACGTGAGTTTGCTAGGGTTAGACGTGCAGTTTGGGAGATGTGCCGGGGGAGTCGCGTGCCACAGGAGCTTGGCTGAGGCTGGGGTCACAAACTTCCCCGGGCGGCACTCAGCTGTTACCAAGTGCTCTGTCAGAGGCCTGCACTATCTGTCGCAGAGACTACGGTGTGGAGGTCAAGCTAAAAGGTAGATTTCCTTTTTTCTTTCTTTTTTTTTAAGATTTATTTAATTTATTAATTTTAATTGTAAAATCAGATTTACAGAGAGAAGTAGATATAAAGAGAAAGATCTTCCATCCATTGGTAGCCACAATGGCCGGAGCTGTGTCGATCTGAAGCCAGGAGCCCAAAGCCTCTTCTGGGTCTCCTACGCACGTGCTGTGGGATCCCAAGGCTTTGGGCCATCCTCTGCTGCTTTTCCAGGCCACAAGCAGGGAGCTGGATGGGAAGAGGGGCTACCCAGAAACAAAATGGCGCCCATATGGGATCCTGACATGTTCAAGGCAAGGATTTTAGACACTAGGCCACAGGGCCAGACCTGATAGTAGATTCTTTAATTGGCTTAGAGGAAACAACCATTTAAAAGATTTTTCTTTCATGATT